TCTTGTTGTGAAGCACGGGCTCTAGGTGCACGGGCTTCAGTAGTTGTAGCACGTGGGCTCAGTAGTTGTGGCTTGCAGGCTTAGTAGTTGTGGCACGTGGGCTTAGTTGGTCCACAACATGTGGGATCTTCCCAGACCAGGGCTCAAACCCGTGTCCCTTGCATTGGCAGGTGGATTCTTAACCACTGCACCACTAGGGAAGTCCTTGCTATCAGTTTTTTTAATTTCCAGGAAATTTTTTTGGAATTTTATATATAAATATTTTTGCATGTTGTCAGGAATTGTGTTTTGTTTGCTTTGATTCCTGTCTTTCATGTTAGAGGTTTTCTTGAAATGTCTGATAATTCTTGGCTATGTCTGTTCATTTTTAAGGATGAGGCACTAAAAAGCTGAGTGTGGAGCCCTGGCTCATCAAGTGGTGGGCACCATTTTAGGGTGAATTGGCACTGGTCACTTTCCTCAGAGAGGGCTGCTCCAGTCTTCTGCCTGGAGAATATAAGCCCAGCAGCAGGTGTTTTTGGAGCCAAGTGGGAGAAGAGAGCTGGGGATGGGGGAAGAGGTCTCATTGTTGAGTACAAGTTAGACTTTCACTTGATCCCTCTGTTTTCATTATGGCTCTGCTGCCCTTAGCTATGACTGGTCCCTTGGTTCAAGAGGCCCTCTGGTTCAACTTCTCTCATCTTCTGCCAGGCATCATGGGGGAGGGGGCAGAGAGGATGGAAGAATCTTATTTCTTATACAGACTTTCAACCAATTCTGTTTTAGCCCCTCCTACACTCCTTTATCCAGAGGTATTAGGTGCCTCCAATTTCTGAGCCTTTTCTGAGATTCTGTGGTAGGAACCTGCTTGCTTCTTACTGCTGCAAGCATTTAACTTTTTCCTTTCTGTGAAGTTATTTATCACTAGTGCATCTGCTTTCCAGCTTCCAAAATTTTGTTGACGTCTCTCTTTATGTTGTTGTCTCCTTTCCCGTTTTTTTTTTTTTTTGAAGTTTATGCCTTAAAAAATCCCTTTGCTGCAATTTTGATGGTGTGTATGTGTGATAAATGTACAGACATATTCATGTTTAACCAACGTATTCATCACCTTTTCTTTACTGCAGCCCATTCAGATAGCAGTTGATTGCTAATGCTCCTTTAGAACCCTGTGTTCCAGACTTCCCTAACACCAAGAATACTTAAGGTGCTCATTGAAAATACAGATTCCCAGATCTCTCTCCTGCAAAATTTCTGATTTTAGTAGGTCTGGATTAGGGCCCAGCAATCTTTTTTGTGCTTGATTTTTAAACAGATGCCCTACGATGTGTCTTATCTTCAGACAAGTTTGGAAGCTCTGTTTTAGAAGGATCTTCTAAACCATTTATTGCTATCCTAAGTTGCTTTTGTATTCCGACTACATTTTAGTCTGTCTAGCTTTGGTCTGGATTTCTAAATTAGAATGTGTGTCCTTCATCTGATTAACTCCTCTCTTCTGTAGTTAAATGCTGGCTAATGGTAATAACTTTGGCCTTGTGTGACTCCGTTTTTTGAGCCAACATTTGTAAACCCACTGGTTCCTGGGATGTGCGGGTGGGGAGGAAATATTAGTTATGAACGTTGAGCTACTCTGCATCATTTCACTGTCCAAATCCAGGAATCTATTTTTTTGTATTTGAAATGGAAAATTGACTCAGGCTTTAAAAACAGATTTACTAATTATCTGCCATCATTTTTGGACATGTTAAAGCACTGTGATTTGAAGTTTGTTTTTTGTTTTTTTTTTTTTGCGGCACGCGGGCCTCTCACTGCTGTGGCCCCTCCCGTCGCGAAGCACAGGCTCTGGACGCGCAGGCCCAGCAGCCATGGCTCACGGGTGCAGCTGCTCCACGGCACGCGGGGGATCCTCCCGGACCAAGGCATGAACCCGTGTCCCCTGCATCGGCAGGTGGACTCTCAACCACTGCGCCACCAGGGAAGCCCTGAAGTTTGTTTTTAACTTTGACAATATGAGAGGGCACATTCTCTTCTTTTTGTGTTGTAGATCCCTAGGCCTTAGAAGGAAAAACAGTTGTTGTCTTTTATTGTTGGTATGTAAAACACCTGGAAATGAGGTGTTTGCTGCTGCTCCTTGGTTGCTGTGAGTCGCTTGGCGATCAGGAGCTAAATAGTACCTGTCTTAGCTATGTTGTAGAGGCCAAGTGTAGTACCCTAGTACTCAGGTGTTGGAAGTCTTGCTGTTATTAGCTAAAATGCAGCCTGAGGAAGCCATGTCGGCTCTGACATAGATTTACATTCTAAGATGAACAGCTCTATCAAAACAGCTCTAGTAGAATTTTACAGGTTTCATTGAAACAGTTTTGCTGAATGAAGTCACAAAAACAGTGCTAAATCTAAAGTGTTATTGTCTTGGGAGTTCCCTGGTGGCTTAGTGGTTAGGATTCCAGGCTTTCACTGCCATGGCCTGGGTTCAGTCCCTGCTCGGGGAACTGAGATCTTGCAAGCCGCACGGCCAAAAAATAAAAATAAAGTGTTATTGTCTCATTGACTATGAATCACTGGCTATGTTTTGAAGCACTACAGCACTTTGAACTATTACTGATTTACTGCAGTTGACTATTTTCTATATATGTTCCCCCACCTTCCCAATACTTCAGTGCTTTCAGGATAGTAGGATTTTCTCTTTGCTTTCAGGGGTGTGGTAGGGGCTGGGGATGTTTGGTGAAGTCATTCTCTGATCTCTGTTTAGGACGATTTTCAGGTATTATGTTTACAGTTGCTCTTGCATTAGTTATCTCTAGCCGTCTTTTTATTGAAGTAATTTTTCACAGATGTGGTTATTTTATTGCACACAAGAGTAGACTTCTCATTGATTTGTGATCATTTTAGATGAGAGGACTTGGCTGCTGGGTTGCCCTGTAACTGGGAATCATAACCTGTGGTACCTAATATTTACCACATCAAGTCGTCTATGAATATGTAGGCTTCTGAGTTTATGTTTTTCGGGCTTTTGAAAAATAATCTGAGACAAGAGGAAAGAGTCATATTAGGGGGAAAAGCTGCACTTTGGGATGTATACTTATGCTCTTATTAGGAAAATTATATTTGAAAGGATTTCGTCATATAGTTATATATCTTTCTTTTGCCTCTGTCCTTTTCTCTTCTAGGGTTGTGTTCTGCTTGTAACAGTGAAAAATCATTGAGGTAAAGAGTAAAACATCCAGGTTTAGTTGCAGAAGTCTAGGATTTTCAGTTTAAATTATCATGGTGTGCGTGTAATTTTTTTAAAAATTAGTTTACTTATTATTTATTTTTGGTTGCGTTGGGTCTTTGTTGCTGCGCGTGGGCTTTCTCTGCTTGCGGCGAGTGGGGGCCACTCTGTTGCGGTGCGCGGGCTTCTCATTGCAGTGGCTTCTCTTGTTGTGGAGCACGGGCTCTAGGCGCGCAGGCTTCAGTAGTTGTGGCACGAGGGCTCAGTAGTTGTGGCACGTGGGCTCTAGAGCGCAGGCTCAGTAGTTGTGGCTCACAGGTCCAGTTGCTCTGCAACATGTGGGATCTTCCTGGACCAGGGCTCGAACCCGTGTCCCCTGCATTGGCAGGCGGATTCTTAACCACTGCGCCACCAGGGAAGTCCCTTTGTGATTTTTTTAAAAATTACTTGTTGGATCAATCAGATTTGCTGCAGAGTTGAATTTCCATGATGAAATATGTGCGCAGTTGGAAAAATGATTTTTTTCCCTTCATGGAGTAACCTTGGAATTTTAATTAATTCCATTTCTACATATGATAGAAATCTGTTTCACCAGGTTTGACTGAATTGAATTTCAAGGGGGAGGGAGCACCTTTTCCATTGAGAGACGAGGGCTGTAGATTATTTTCAGACTATATAAAGCTTTTTTGGGCGGGGAGGGTGGTAAAATACGAATAACAAGAATGTTACTCTAGTCTGTTTCCTTGTATTTTAGAGAAACCAGAAGTGCTTTAGTGGAAACTCTCTGCTGTATTCTGTCCTAGAACACGTGGAGGCGTGTTCATAGTTCAGTGTTGACATCAGTTCCTCCGTAATTATAGGAACCTGTTTGGCTCCTGCTGTTCGTTAGTCTCCTGCAGTGGCATGTGAATACTCTTAGGCAGTAGCTCCTGGCTGTTCTCCCATGTGGGGTTCTGTGACTTAGGAACTGGATGCCATTACGCCACTGTGGTAATGAGCCCCTCCTTCTCCATACTGTACTGCTTTTCAGGAGCAAGGTTGAAGGGCAGGTGGACAGGTAGGCAGACTGCCATCAGGGGACTTTTAACCCTGGAAGGCTTTCAGTTAGTACCTAGGTCCCTAGCTGTACTCAAGCCAACGAGAGATGAGGTGTACAGTCTGTGAGATTAGTGAACGAGATAACTGATGGAACTTGTTTACTTTGGGTGTGAAGCTGTTGGTTTGTTTAGACTTCTTTGGTATAATAGGCATATTGGATGGAGAAGGATACTACTTTTGGATTTGGAGGATGGCCTACAGAGGCCTCAGATTTCATCTCCTCTCACTCTTCACCTCACCCTGTTCTAGTTACTCTGGCTTTTTCACTAGTTCTCTAACACATCAAGCTCATTACTATCGCAGGCGGTTTTCCCTTTGATGTTTGTGAATTCTTTTTGGAATGCTCTTTCCCCAGATGTTTCTAGGGCTTGGCTGTTCATGGAGAGACTTCTTTGGAGAGCCAGCCCCCAGCCCCCACCCCTCTCCTCATCTAAAAGAACACTATACCCTACTCCTGCACTCTCCCTTTATGATTCTCTTTTTTTCATTCTTTTTGTCAGTAATGGAAATGTTGAGATTGTATTTGTTTCCTTGTTTATCTTTTCCTCTAGAATATAGACCCCAAGATTGTAAAAAATTGTCTAGTTCAGCCTCTAGAACAGGGTTTATCAACCTCAGCATTATTGACATTTTTGGACGGGAGAATTCTTTGTTGTGGGAGGTTGCCCTGTGCACTATAGAGTGTTTAGCAGCATTCTTGTTTTCTATCTCCTAGATGCCAGTAACACCTCCTAGTCATGACAGTCAGAATGTCTCCAGACATTGCCAACTGTCTCCTGGGGGACAAAATCACCCTGCTTGGGAACCATTGTTATAGAACAATGCTTTGGCACCTAGTGGGTGCTCAATAAATGTTTATCATATGATAGATGGATTAATGAATGAATAAACTCAGCAAGGTAAGCAAGTTAAGATTTTTTGGAGCACTGAACTACACATGTGTATATAGCCTTGTGTTTCTTCCTTACCTCTTTTCTTGTCTTTTCCATTTCTGGCACATTGATCCATCCTTCACTGCTTTTTCCCCTCAATTCAGGCTTGCTTGCTCTTTCAGACAATGCTACTTTTAAATTTGGTTCGGTTCAACAAGTGACAGATGAGCCCCTACTCTGTGCTGTAAAATAATAGGAAAGAACTATAGAAGGATACGGTGCTGTCTGTGCTTAAGAGCTCATTGGGTAAAATGGACACAGATACATGAAATGTTCCTGTAAAGTTTCTTAGTTCAGGGTAATGTCTAAACTGGTACCAGGGCCATTATAGGGTTATTTAAGGAATAGTTGTTAAATGAAATGCTTATCAGAATGGGGTGATTGCTGTTGAATTTGGAATCCAGTTTTAACAAAAACCTACCCATTCAGGGAATTCCTTGGTGGTCCAGTGGTTAGGACTCTGCACTCTCACTGCCAAGGGCCCGGCTTTGATCCCTGGTCTAAGATCCTGGAACTAAGATCCTGCATGCCGCACGGTGTGGCCAAAAAAAACCTACCTAATCATTTTCTACTTATTTTCATTGTTGCAGTTACCCTTGGTTTCTTGCTATTGATTCTGTCAGTAACATGGTTGAGAAATATGCAAAGTGGGCTTGCTCATTTTGCACTTGTTTGATGGGAATGTTTCTAGGGTTGGTTATTTTATTGAATGGTCTTGACAGCTGATTCATCAATGGTTCTTTTTTTTTTTAATATCTGTAAAACCTTTTTTTAAAAAAAATATTTATTTACTTATTTATATTTATTTTGGCTGCGCCGGGTCTTAGCTGCAGCACATGGGACCTTCGTTGCGGCATGTGGACTTCTTTAGTTGTGGCATTCGGACTTCTGAGTTGCGGCATGCGGACTCCTAGTTGCGGCATGCATATGGGATCTAGTTCCCCGACCAGGGATTGAACCCAGGCCCCTTGGATTGGGAGCTTAGAGTCTTACCCACTGGACCACCAGGGAAGTCCCATCAGTGAGTTTTTAACGTCCTTGCTTGGAAAATCTTGCCACCTCTATCCACCTGGTATGAAAATACACCAAACAAAAACCCCATTGTCTGTTATGTGACTTTTCTTTGTCCTAGAGCAACTGATTTTTCTCTTTCTGCTTAATATTTATGTTCCATCTCTCATACTGTTAGAGAGGTGTTTTGTTTTGTTTGTTTGTTTTGAACTATGGGATCAGAAGAATTGCATTGGGGGAACATTTGGAACCTTTTCCTCTTGAAGACACAACTGTCTTCTCTTTAGATTATCTGGAGACAGAGTAGACAGAGCTAAATGGTCTTTCAGTGAGAATCTTGAAATGTCTCTTTTAGCTGTCTCTCTGTTCCTTTATATTACAAAGCAGTTTAATAGGATATTAAAGAATTGAACATGTATTTGACAAAGGAGAGATAATTTTCTTGTTGACATCCCAAATTCCTATCCATATGACTGAGTCTTGTAAGGTAGAACTAAGGCCCTTGAGACTTTGCTGAGGGAGACAGCCTACTTAAAAATGTTCAAGGTCAGGTGTTTTTTTTGGTTTTTTTTCCCCTGTGGGATTTTGTTGCGTACTTTGGTACAAAAACTGTAATTTACTCTGTAATCAAAGCTGAGATCAAAGGAGAGTGCTGTTACCTGAGGTCACTCAGCATGAAAGTGGATGTCGTTAAGATTTAGATTTAAAATAAAAATTTTTTTCTTTGTAAAATAACTTGGTATTGAAACCTGAGTTTTATAACAGCAGAATACCATTTGGGTAAAGCCCTCAGATTGTAGTGGTAACTGGAATACCTCTTAGATCTTTTAAAATATATGATAAAAAGCAACAACTAAATTGGATTCTTCATTTATCAAATGTAAAAGGAAGTAGTTTCTGTCTTTGTCCTCAGGAGGTTCCCTGCTCCTAAAGTGTACAAATATTTGGAAATTGAATAGAAAAGTAGGTTTTGTCTTCTGAGGAACAGAAGAAAGCACTTTTTTTTTTTTTTTTTTTTTCGGTACGCGGGGCCCCCACTTTTGTGGCCTCTCCTGCTGCGGAGCACAGGCTCCGGCCGCTCCGCGGCATGTGGGATCCTCCCAGACCGCGGCACGAACCCGTGTCCCCTGCATCGGCAGGCGGACTCCCAACCACTGCGCCACCAGGGAAGCCCAAGAAAGCACTTTTTAAAAGTGCATTGCTTGAGTTTTATGGAGACCTACCTCTGAATTCTGTGATAAATTTGATATTAAGAAGACTTGAAATAATGCTCTCTGATCTTTATTTCAGAGAAACTGACTCCTGAGGATGTGAAAAGCTATCATGGTTTTTAAGTGGAAAGGCTTAAGAAGGGAATGAGAATTTTTCTGAAAATCAGGGACTCTGAAGAACACAGATGGTGAGGTTTGTAGTTCTAATTTAATAGATCAGAAAGGAAAGACTTAATTCCGTGATGAACCCTCTTTTTTCCTTTTTTTAGTTTAATCTCAGGTTTAACTTCAGGAATGTTAGATTCTTTTTTTAAAAAATAAATTTATTTATTTTATTTATTTTTATTTTTGGCTGTGTTGGGTCTTCGTTGCTGTGCATGGGCTTCTAGTTGCGGCGATCGGAGGCTACTCTTCATTGCAGTGCGCGGGCTTCTCGTTGTGGTAGCTTCTCTTGTTGCAGAGTATGGGCTCTAGGTGCGTGGGCTTCAGTAGTTGTGGCACATGGGCTCAGTAGTTGTGGCTCGCGGGCTCTAGAGCGCAGGCTCAGTAGTTGTGGCGCACGGGCTTAGTTGCTCTGCGGCATGTGGGATCTTCCCAGACCAGGGCTTGAACCCGTGTCCGCTGCATTGGCAGGTGGATTCTTAACTACTGTGCCACCAAGGAAGCCCACTTCATTTGTTCTTAACTGAAAGCAGTTCTCAAAGCAGACCCTCTGCATTGGGTTAGTGCTTGTAGTGTCGATCCTGAATTGGTTTGAATAAAGCTTCTTTAGGGAATCGTCAGGGCAAGGAAAGTTGTGTTAATTTAAATTTATATAAATTGGGCTTCCCTGGTGGCGCAGTGGTTGAGAGTCTGCCTGCCGATGCAGGGGACGCGGGTTCGTGCCCCGGTCCGGGAAGATCCCACATGCCGCGGAGCGGCTGGGCCCATGAGCCATGGCCACTGGGCCTGCGCGTCTGGAGCCTATGCTCTGCAATGGGAGAGGCCACAACAGTGAGAGCCCCGCGTACCGCAAAAAAAAAAAAAAAAATTTATATAAATTGCTTTGCTCTTGGAAAATATAGAGATCTGTTTGTATTCCATCCCTAAGATAGGAATTTGGAGTGGGTTAAGTTTTCATTTAGGAAAAATAGTAGAAAATTGCTAAATCCAACCAACTTGCAGTGGAGATTTTTTTCATGGTGATTGGTGAAATAGAAAGGGATCAGGAGACCTGAGTTTGAGTCCTAACTCTGCAGTTTACTCCTGAGTGATCTGGGGGGTCGCGCTTAGCTCAGTCAGTCTGCCTCTCTCCCTAGTGTGCATACATGTAACCCCACTCCTCGAGCTTCAGAGTCCTCACCTGTAAAATGGGAGTGATAATACTCTACTGTAGTGTATCATTGTTTGCTCAGTGTCCCTGGTAGGAGGGTGTCATGCCTGCAGTCTTTGTAGAGACAGAAGAAAAGTTGAAAGCCACTGCTGGTAGTCAACCATGGTGCTGGTAGTGATTGTTTTTTTTTTTTTGGCCATGCTGCATGGCTTGCAGGATCTCAGTTCCCTGATCAGGGATTGAACCCGGGCCACAGCAGTGAAAGCCCAGAATATCCTAATCACTAGGACACCAGGGAACTCCCAAAAGTGATTTTTTTTTTTCTTTGTGGTACGCGGGCCTCTCACCACTGCGGCCTCTCCCGTTGCGGAGCACAGGCTCCGGACGCGCAGGCCCAGCAGCCATGGCTCACGGGTCCAGCTGCTCCGCGGCATGTGGGATCTTCCCGGACCGGGGCATGAACCCGTGTCCCCTGCATCGGCAGGCGGACTCTCAACCACTGCGCCACCAGGGAAGCCCCTGAGCCTATTTTAAGAAGGCATCTTTAACTGCATAATGTATTAGTGGCTTTCTGCAGTGGGTGACTTTAAAAAAAGATTTGCCAAAAAAAAAAAAAAAAGAAAAAAGATTTGCCTTGCTAGAAAACTACTGCTTTGCCTAATAAATGACTCTAACTGTCAGACTTAAGTTTGTCCCTTTAGGTCATTTCTTACTCCGTAGCATGTAGATTGGATCAACTGTGGATCTGGAAAGAACTAGGGACTTGTCTGAATCTCTTTTCCGGGTCATTCTAGGAGACCATTTCAACTGTGGCCATGGCCAAAGTAGGTAGAACTGGAAACCCAGAAAAGGTGGGAACTGAGGTGACTGGAATTAGTTGAAAATGTTTGTTTCTGAATAAACTACTATTTTCCTTATTCTTGGGCTGCTAGCTTTATGACTGCTATGGGGACTTGAAGTGGAATGGTCATAGTGAACCCAGAAAATTTAATAGAAGAAAGGTTTTTTCTTCTTCTCCACGTGTTTCTTTCACTTCACCCCCACACCCCGAGATAGATGTTCTGCTTATGAGGATTTACTATTTTGATCAATTTTTCAAGCCTAGTATGTTAGATTCCTGGCAAAGAAAGACTAGACTTAATTTTGAAACCAGAAATGAGAAGGTATTTTCCTTAGAGGGGAGTCAGCTGCTCGTTCCTTGAAGTGAGTTCAGACATCATTCCCTGTGGGAACCACTTAGCCAAAGTACTGTCCAGTTCTTTGTGATTGGAGCAAAAAGCTCTGTTGGGCAGCCAGCCTAGAGTGGCATTCCACTGTAAGGAGTTGGGATTTTGAAGATGTTAACGGTCATGTTTTTGATCAAATTTACTACCTACAAAGGTTCTTGGTTTTATAGAACCTTTGGAATATTTGCCCTTTTATCATTCTCAGGGCATTGAGAGAAGTGTTTAAGTGGTTACTTCTTCATTCACAGAGAGATTTTGATCACCCATGTAAAGAGTTTAGAACCAAACCTCTGCAATTATTTGGCTTTGACTTTTGAGGGTTCAAGAAGTAGGATTTCCTTGGGGTGACTTTTTGTTCTTGAGTTTTAGTTTTATCTTTGCCCCCTACTTCAATGTCTTATGAAGACTAAAGTTCCCTGGCTTTAGTCTCATTTGTGAAATGAGGATCACTTACAGACTGTAATAAGGAGACAACTGTATACTTTTTGAGTGTTAAATATTAAGCCACTGATAACTGGATAAATTCTCATGTGGTATTTACGCTCTTACCAGATTCCAGTGATGTGACTATACCAGGCGTCAGTAAATTGTGGCTCATGAGTCAGATCTGGTCCATGGTCTGTTTTGTATGGCCCAATGACTAAGAATGGTTTTTACAACTTTCCTTAATAAGTTTATTTATTTATTTTTATTTTATTTATTTATTGTTGGCTGCATTGGGTCTTCGTTACTGCATATGGGCTTACTCTAGTCGTGGTGAGCAGGAGTTGCTCTTTGTTGCGGTGTGCGGGCTTCTCATTGCGGTGGCTTTGTTGTGGAGTTTGGGCTGTAGGCACACTGGCTTCTGTAGTTGTGGTGCACGGGCTTCAGTAGTTGTGGCGCATGGGCTCAGTAGTTGTGGCTCGTGGGCTCTAGAGCACAGGCTCAGTAGTTGTGGTGCACGGGCTTTGTTGCTCCGTGGCATGTGGGATCTTCCTGGACCAGGGATCGAACCCGTGTCCCCTGCATTGGCAGGGCGAATTCTTAACCACTGCGCCACCAGGGAAGTCCCAGTTTTTACTTTTTTTTTTTTTTTGCAGTATGCGGGCCTCTCACTGTTGTGGCCTCTCCCGTTGCGGAGCACAGGCTCCGGACGCGCAGGCTCAGCGGCCATGGCTCACGGACCCAGCCGCTCCGCGGTATGTGGGATCTTCCTGGACCGGGGCACGAACCCGTGTTCCCTGCATCGGCAGGCGGACTCTCAACCACTGTACCACCAGGGAAGCCCCGCGGTTTTTACATTTTTTAAATGTAAAATTCAAGAGAATGAGAACACAAGCCACAGAGTAAGAGAAAATATTTGCAAAAGATACATCTGATAAAGGACTGTTATCTAAAATGTACAAAGAACTCTTAAAACTCAACAATGAGAAAACAAACAACCCGATTAAAAAGTGGGCAAAAGACCTGAACACGCACCTCGCCAAAGAAGATACATAGGGACATCCCTGGTGGTCCAGTGGTTAAGACTCTGCGCTCCCAATGCAGAGGGCCTGGGTTCGATCCCTGTTTGGGGAATTAAGATCCCACATGCCGCAACTAAGCCTGTGTGCCTCAGTGCAGCCAAAATAAATAAATTAATTAATTTCAAAAACAGAAGATATATAGATGGCAAGTCAGCATATGAAAATATTCCAACATCATATGTCATTTAGGAATTGCAAATTAAAACAGCGGGATACTGCTACACACCTATTGGAATGACCGAAATCCAGAAGGCTGGCGAGGATGTGGAGCAACAGGAACTCTCATTCATTGCTGGTGAGAATGTGAATTGGTACAGCCATTGCGGAAGGTAGTTTGGCAGTTTATTACAGAACATACTCTTACCATATGATCCATCAGTCATGCTCCTTGATGTTTTACCCAAATGAGTCAAAAACTTATGTCCTCACAAAAACCTGCACAAGGATGTTTATATTAGCGTTATTCATAATTGCTAAAACTTGGAAGCATCCCAGATGTCCTTCAGGAGGTGAATGGATAAACAAACTGTGGTACATCCAGACAGTGGAATGTTATTCAGTGCTAAAAAGAAATGAGCTATCAAGCCATGAAAAGACATGGAGGAAACTTAAATGCATATTACCAAGTGAAAGAAGCCCATCAGAAAGGGGTACTGTATGATTCCAACTACACAGCATTCTGGAAAAGGCAAAACTATGAAGACATTAAAAAGCTCAGTGGTTGGGCTTCCCTGGTGGCACAGTGGTTGAGAGTCTGCCTGCCGATGCAGGGGACACGGGTTCGTGCACCGGTCTGGGAAGATCCCACATGCCACCGAGCGGCTGGGTCCGTGAGCCATGGCCTCTGAGCCTGCACGTCTGGAGCCTGTGCTCCGCAACGGGAGAGGCCAGAATAGTGAGAGGCCCGTGTACCCCCCCCCAAAAAAAAAACTCAGTGGTTGCCAGGGGTTCAGGGGTGGGGGGCAGGGAGGGATGAACAGATACAGCATAAGAGATTTTTAGGACAGTGAAACGATTCTATATGATACGACATTGGTGGAGAGTTGTTATTATACATTTGTCCAAACCCATGGAACGTACAACACCAAGAGTGAACCCTAATGTAAACTATGGATTTCGGGTGATAACGAGGTGTCAGTGTAGGTTCATCAATTGTGACAAATGTATCACTGCAGGGTATAGATAGTGGGGGACTCTGTGTGTGTGGTGGGGGACAGGGGTTTTAGGGGAACTCTGTACTTTCTGCTCAGTTTTGCTGTGAACCTAAAACTGCTCTAAGAAATAAAGTTTATTAACTTAAAAGGTTGTCAAAACAAAACAGAAGGATAATGTGCGACAGAGACCATATGTGGTTTACAAAGCCTAAAGTATTTTTTTATCTGGCCTTTTACAGAAAAGATTTACTGAGCCCTGGACTAGATCACAGTGCGACTAGGAGATGAGTGCCTAGTTTCTCTCTGGTGTCATGCTCAGTCCTCTGGTTCTCCTGGTACTCAGTGTGTCTCATGGCAAAGTTGTTCTCATGAATTTATTTCTGTTTCACTTGCAGGTATATGAGTGACCTAAAGCTGCAGATTAAAAAGGAAAGAGAGCAGTGCCAACTGCAAACAGGGCAAGGATGCCAATTCCTCCTCCCCCTCCACCACCCCCTGGTCCTCCTCCACCTCCCACTTCTAATCAGGTAGGTAGTCCATCCACCTGGCTATCTCAAGACCTGAATGGATACTTAGGGCTTCCTGGTATGAGACATAGTGTACTCAAAGACATGGGGTGTAGGAAGATGGAGAATAAATAAGTAAAGTCTGTCTTCCTAATTCGTTCTGATTCCTGAGAAGTCCTCTTAGGACCATAATGGCTTGTCTTGGTTTTTTTATCCTGGTTCAGTCTAAATGGAGATTTGGGCAGGTGGCATCAGAGTAGGAACTAGTGTGTCTTCCCTAAAACTACTGTAGTATAAAGGTCAATGTGTCGTTTTTCTGCATCTTTGAGAAAAGGGATGGCAATTCCTAGTTGTTGTTTCTTGCTGCCATTTCATTTCCTTCTCTTCTACTCCAAATCAGTTCACTTTAAAATCAAGTCCATCAGGTCTAAATGCCCCCATGCCCCATATCAAGAAAGAAAGGAGTTAATGGAATTAGGAAGAAGACTAAAGGTTCAGTAATGGGAAGAAAAAAAAGCAATGTGGCTTCTGAACCACGGACACAGCCACTTTTACTATATCTGAGTTGTGATACCTGGAGTCACATGAGAAAGAAGGAAGGAACCTGGGTGCTTCATCTCTGTGTGTGTGTGTGGGGGTGTGGGTGTGTGTGGGTGTGTGTGTGTGTGTGTGTGTGTGGGTGTGTGTGTGTGTGTGTTGGGTGTGTTGGGTGTTTAACAGATGAGAAATTGTGCCCTGACAGAGGAAAGGTGACTTAACCTAGCTAATTTGTTTCAGAACTAGGACAACAGTTCAGGTCTGCCAACTTCTGTTTTTTTCCTGTAATTTTTGGGGTGTGGTGGGAGCTGAGGCTGGAGGTGTAGGTGGGGGTTTGGAGTTTTCTCTTGGTCATGATGGGGAGATGCTGAAGTCTCTTCAGCAGCAGGAGGAACCTGCTTGGGTTTATATTAGGAAAGTTACTCTTCACAGTGTGGACGGTAGGTTGGGAGTTGAGACTACAGACAGGGAGGTTGAGACTGGAGACAGAAGCCTGTGGCAATTGAAAATGAGAGTCTGGACTAAAGCAGTGAGGATGGAGAGTGGAGACAAGAGACAATGACAAAGTAAAATCTTAAGAGTCTGATGACAGATGGAAGAGTGAAGAAGAGGAAGGAGATTTGAATGACTCTAGTTGGGGGATTGATTTTTTAATTTTTATTTATTTATTTATTTATTTTTTGTGGTACACGGGCCTCTTACTGTTGTGGCCTCTCCCGTTGCGGAGCACAGGCTCCGGACGCGCAGGCTCAGTGGCCATGGCTCACGGGCCCAGCCGCTCCGCGGCATGTGGATCTTCCCGGACCGGGGCACGAACCCGTATCCCCTGCATCGGCAGGCGGACTCTCAACCACTGTGCCACCAGGGAAGCCCTGGGGGATTGATTGAATGCTGGTGCTATTTACAAGAGAAACAGGTTTGTGGAGGAGGATATGAGCTCAATTTTGGACATGCTTAGTAATATTTTTCTCTTTACAAAAGTAATATGTTCAAGAAATTTATGAACTGTGGTTAAGCAAAAAGGAGCAGTTACCCATAATCCAACCATTCATAACAGTTTTGTGTCTAGCCTTCCCCTCCCTCCTTCTTCCTTTTGTATCTGTCTACCTTTTAAAAAATTATTTATTTATTTATTTATGGCTGCATTGGGTCTTTGTCGCTGCACACGGGCTTTCTCTAGTTGCAGTGAGCGGGGGCTACTCTTCGTTGCGGTGCGCAGGCTTCTCATTTTGGTGGCTTCTCTTGTTGTGGAGCATGGGCTCTAGGCACGTGGGCTTCAGTAACTGTGGCGCGTGGGCTTAGTAGTTGTGGTTCGCGGGCTCTAGAATGCAGTCTCAGTAGTGTGGTGCACGGGCTTAGTTGCTCTGCAGCATGTGGGATCTTCCCAGACCAGGACTCGAACCCGTGACCCCTGCATTGGCAGGCGGGTTCCTGACCACTGCGCCACCAGGGAAGCCCGTCTACCTTTTTTTTAAAAAAAGGTTGTGCTTTATATACATACTGATTTCTGATTGGCTCTTCTTCCTCATTAATACATCATGAATGGCTTGTCATGTCATTAAATGTTTAGTGATATCATTAAAAAATTCTTTACTAAAAATCCAGAAAAAACTAGAGAACACCAATAAACATAGAAAATGTTAATCTATAATTAACCTTTGTTAACATTTTGTATGTTTATTGTAGGAAAACTAGAAAATACAGATAAACATAAATAATTATTACCCCAGATTAACTTTTGCTAGTATCAGTGTATATCCTTCTAGAAATTTTCTGTATGTGTGTACCTTTTTATTCTTCACAATATAAGCTAGCTGCTACTTACTGAACTCTTACTATACACCAGGCACTGTGCTAAGCTCTTAAAAAGTGTTATCATTTAATTCTCAAAACTACCCTATGAGATAGGTCCTGTTATGACTCCTGTAGAAAACTGGAATCATGTATATGTATTGTTCTATAATATTTTTTGCTTGATTGTGTCAGATATTTATTTCCATGAAAAGATGCTTGCTTCTACATCCTTTAAGAGCTTAACTGGCATCCCACTGTATGATTATACCATTGTTGTTCTTTTCGGTTGAACTTTTAGATTACTTCCGCTTTATGCTATTATAAACTGTTTTTTGCTATTATTATCGTCTTTGTGCATGTCTCCAATTATTTTCTTAAAATTAATTTCTGGAAGTAGAATTCTTGTGCTAGACTTTTACGAGGTGTTTGATACATAAATTACTTTCTAGAAAAATCATACCAATCTATCCTACCACAGGTAGTAGAAAAGAGTACCTGTTTTCCTGGATCCTTAAGATCACCATGGGGCAGCTTTTTATTCTATACATTGTTTTGAACATCTTCAGTGTGCCAGGCACTGTACAGGCAGTGGTCCCTGCCTTCACAAAGCTAGCAGTCTCTTTGTAATTGTAACCTTTACCAGTATCATAGGTAGATAATGATAGTTTTACACTACATTTTTTTTTTTATTATAGTTGTTTTTTTTCCATATTTGTTGGCTCTTTTGACTTCTTTTATGCAGTGTTGTTCATATCTTTTCCTTATTATCCTACTGATTTCTAAGTCATCTTTATATGTTAATGCTCTATAGATTTGGGCCACTACCTTTATTTCTATCATATGTTAACATTTGTCACTGACAATTTTTCTTCCAGTGTGTCATCTGCTTATTTACTTATATTCCTAAGTAAATAATTTGAAATAAGCAAATCTGTCGATCTTTTCCTGTATTTTGATTGTCTTGATTAGAAAGTCCTTCCCATTACCTATATTTTTGCATATAGTACTTCCGTGGTTTTATTTTTTTACACTTAAATTTTATAATTCAGCTAGAATTTATTTGAGAGTAAAGTGCTAAGGTAGGTATTTAACTTTATTATTTTTTTCTAAAAATTAACCACTTGTCAGACTTCCCTGGTGGTCCAATGGTTAAGACTCCACGCTTCCGCTGCAGGGGGTGTGTGTGCGATCCCTGGTTGGGGAACTAAGATCCTACATGCCGCCTGGCATGGCCAAAAAAATTAACCACTTGTTATTAACACCTTGTATTTAATAATCTATCCTTTCTGCACTGAGGAAATACACTTTTATTCTTTCTGTATAGACCTGGGCCTGCTTTATGGACTTCCTGTTTTGTTCCACTTATCTAGCTGTCTGTCCCTATGCTCCTGTTGTTGTTGGTCATAGGAATATTTCAGGATTTAAACAAGATAATGAAAGTAATGTGCTTATTATTAGCACAATGCCTGGGATATAGTGGGGGCTCAATAAACGTTTGCCTTGGTGGTGATGATACAAATAAAGTGTCCGGCACACAAGCCTAGCACATAGGTGCTCAGTAAGTATTGGTGCAGGCCTCCTGTCAGAAGCTTCTGAACAGGAGGAAGACCTATATCCTTCACAGAAGGTACAGCATGAGAGAAAGTTCTAAGGAGGAGGATAATGGACATTGATACTGTCGTTTGGCACATGTATCCTATTAGGTTAGACAGGCATCTCGTGGAATCCAGTTTGGCTTAAGGCATTTATCCCGAGCTTGTGATGAGGGGGATATTGAGGGTGAACTTATGTTTCCCTCTTCCTTCAGGCCAACACTGAGCTGCCCAAGCTGAGTAGAGATGAGCAGCGGGGTCGAGGTGCTCTCTTACAGGACATCTGCAAAGGGACCAGGCTGAAGAAGGTGACCAACGTTAATGATCGGAGCGCTCCCCTCCTCGAGAGTGAGTCTAAGCTTCATCTCCTAATGAACCACCGGGATCCCAGGATTGACTCGGGGACTAGGCTTGGCTGTCATTTTTATTGTTGGGTCGTAAGTGGGAGAGTTTTGTCTTGGCATGTTCTTTGGCTGTCTTCTCATCTGTTCATTTGAATACCTTAGAAATTGCTTTTTGACCTTTGAGAAGCATTCTCGGGATCTTAAGCCTCCCATCTCCTACTATAACTAGTGCTTGTTAGGGCATATCCTTGGCTTTTCTCTGAGAAGACCACCACAGTCCTAAAAACCTGTAAGCTGAAGCCAACGATGATTTTATAATTGCTACAAGTGTTCATTCTGAAAGGCCTCTGGGGGTTTTCTCACACCTGGGTCCCTGAGCCATTAAGCCCCCTCACCATCTGGGACTTGGAGAGGAAAGCCTAGAGAACTCTGTTGAACAGGTCCTCATCCTGGTTACCACTCTGCCCTAAATAAAGGAAGATTGGCTCCTCGTTCCTTTTGTTTTCTCTCTTTCATCACAGCACAGAGTTTCATCCCCACACCTACATGAAGCTGTGGAGCAGAGAAGCCCAGCTTTCTATTTCAGTGGAAAGGCAAAAGCAATATCGGTTTGTTTGCAAATTAAAGCCCAGGTAGAGGAGGGGTTTCTCCTCAGGATTGACTTGGTCACCAGCCTCAGAGCATATGAAATGAAAATCCTAATGGTGTGCTTTCCAGAACCCAAAGGAAGCAGTGGTGGTTATGGCTCTGGAGCAGCTGCCCTGCAGCCCAAGGGAGGTCTCTTCCAAGGAGGAGTGCCCAAGCTCCGCCCTGTGGGAGCCAAGGACGGTTCAGGTATGTGATAAGTACTTTCTTAGGATGTTTCCCAAGCACATTCGTTTCTGACTGGTCCCAGGTGGGCCCTCTGGGGTTGAGGAGTGTGGTAGAGATGGGAAGAAGGAGTGGGGGCAGGGCAGGGGTTATAAAGTAGAATAAAGCAAAAGCTGAGGGTAAATAAGAATGCGTTCAGCTTGCATCAGTAGTGTTTGTTAGTGGGCCCTGAGCCTGAAACCAGGTTAAAACCCAGAATCATACAGGTATTTGCCCTGCTGCCATGCAGGTTGCACTAAGGAGGCGGGGTGACGTGGAGATACCCAGCAACGTAGGTCCAGCTCTGTTGACCCAGTGCTTTCTGGTGTATTTGTAGAGAACCTAGCTGGCAAGCCAGCCCTACAAGTCCCCAGTTCTCGAGCTGCTGCCCCAAGGCCTCCGGGGTCTACAGCCAGCGGGCGCCCTCAGGATGATACAGACAGCAACCGAGCCTCACTCCCAGAACTGCCCCGGATGCAGAGACCCTCGTTACCGGACCTCTCTCGGCCTAATACCACCAGCAATACGGGCATGAAGCACAGCTCCTCCGCCCCTCCTCCGCCTCCCCCGGGGCGGCGTGCCAACGCCCCCCCTACGCCTCTGCCTGTGCACAGCAGCAAAGCCGCAGCCTACAACAGAGAGAAGCCCCTGCCACCCACACCTGGACAGCGGCTTCACCTTGGTCGAGAGGGACCTCCCGCTCCACCCCCAGTCAAGCCGCCTCCTTCCCCTGTGAATGTCAGAACAGGACCAGGTGGCCAGTCTCCAGCTCCTCCACCTCCGCCTTACCGCCAGCCTCCCGGGGTCCCCAATGGACCCTCCAGTCCCACTAACGAGTCAGCCCCTGAGCTGCCACAGAGACACAATTCTTTGCATAGGAAGACACCAGGGCCTGTCAGAGGCCTAGCGCCTCCTCCACCCACCTCAGCCTCCCCTTCTTTACAGAGTAATAGGCCACCTCCCCCAGCCCGAGACCCTCCCAGTCGGGGAGCAGGTAAGTGCCTGGAAGCACCTGATTTTTCCTACCATACTGAGATTGAGTTTATCCTTCCTCTTCACCCTTTTCCCCAAAGCTCTCCTTCAGTGATTGAAGTGAACACTCATTCAACAGGTTTACTGAGTGCCTCTTCACGTGGCAGACTCTGTTGTTAGGAAAACAGCAGTAAATAAAAAAGACAAAAAATCCTGTTCTCCTGGACAGTTAACAAATTAATTAGAAAAAAAAAAAAAATATATATATATATATAAAAATACATAGTATATAGATGCTTTAGAAAAATACAAAGCAGAGAAAGGGAATGGGATATACTGGAGTGGGGATGAGGTAATATTTTAAATTACAGGGGTGAGGGTAGAGTTGGGGTCAGGGAAGGCCTTACTGATAAAGTGACAGTGTGGCAAATACCTGAAGGAAGTGAGGGAGTACGCTACGCAGGCATTGAGGGCAGCAAATGCAAAGACCCTGAGACTGGGGACAGCAAGGAGACCATTGTGGCAAGACCAGGATGTGTGAGGGGAAGAGCGGCAGGATGTGGAGGTCAGAAAGCCAGATGCCACGGGAGGACACTGGAGGACTTTGTGAAAACTTTGGGTTTTACTCTGTGTGAGATGGGGAGCCACTGGCGCAGCACGGGGGCTTGGAACACAGAAGTAGCTTTGATTTACCTTTTGAAAAGGCAACTGGCTCTGTTGTTGAGAACCCACCGCAGGAGGACAAAGGGGCCAAAGGAGACCACTTAGGGGGCTAGTGCAATAATCTGAGTAGATGGATAGGATCACAGCAGGTTTGGGGGAAGGTGGGTGTTCAGTTTTGGATGTCAAGTTTGAGGTGCCTGTTAGAAATCCAAGAGGAAATAACCAATTGTCGATTGACTCTCAGACTCTGAAGTTCAGGGGAGTGGTCTGGGCTAGAGAGAGAAATTTGAAGGATATTGAGAACCACATGCTGGGGTGAGATCACCTGGGGCGTGAGTATAGAGAAGAGGGGAGGGCCGAGGCCTGAGGCCTTCCTACATTGACAGGTGAGAGTGATAAGAGTACTAAGCAGAGAAAACTGAGAAAGAGCCTCTAGTGAGGAAGAAAGGAGGAACGCCAAGAGAGTAATGGAGAAAGTCCAGGGTAGAGTGAGTGAGCAGCTGTGGCCTGTGCTGCAGGTGGGTCAGGTAAGTTGAAGACTGAGAATGACATTGGTCTCAGCAACATGGGAGTCATTTTGGGGACCCCCAAACTACCCTTCTAAGTAGTTTCAGTGGAGTGCTGGAGGGAGCGTGAGGGTGAAAGTCTAATCGGGGTGGGTTCAAGCATGCCGGAATAGGAGAGGACTTGATGAAGATAGCAATAGAGAAACTCTAGGGAGTTTGCTGTAAAGGGGAGTGGGGGGTACAGGTATGTGGAATGGTTGCTGGAGGAGGATGAGAGATTGAGGGTTGGTTCCCCCCGCCCCACCCCACCCAAGACGGGAGATATTTCAGCATCTGTTTGTGCGCTGATGGAATGATCCGGTAGAGAGGAGGAAATTGCCTGGATAGTGTCCTCGGGGAGGCAAGAAGGAATGGAACCTGATCCACAGGTCAAGGGCTGGCCTTAGATAAGAACACAGTTCTTTGTGGTAACAGGAGGGAAGGCAGAGCATATAGGCAAAGAAGCAAGTAGGTAGGTGGGTGTAGTGGTAGGAGCATGTGGAAAGTTTCTTCTAAAACTTTTTTAAAATAAATATTCATTTATTTATTTATGGCTGCGTTGGGTCTTCATTGCTGCGCGCGGGCTTTTCTCTAGTTGCATGGAGCGGGGTCTACTGTTCCTTGTGGTGCGCGGGCTTCTCATTGCGGTGGCTTCTCTTGTTGCGGAGCACGGGCTCTAGGCACATGGGCTTCAGTAGTTGTGGCACACAGGCTCAGTAGTTGTGGCTCGCGGGCTCTAGAGCGCAGGCTCAGTAGTTGTGGCGCATGGGCTTAGTTGCTTCGCAGCATGTGGAATCTTCCCAGCCTAGGGCTTGAACTCCTGTCCCCTGCATTGGCAGGCAGATTCTTAACAACTGTGCCACCAGGGAAGCCCTTTTTTTTTTTTTTGCTTCTATATTCTGGGTGAAATTGAAAGCAAGAACATATGCTGTGAATGAGGGTAAGGAAATAGAGGGAGATTTGAGGAGAGAGGAAAGAGGGCACAAAATGGCCATCTGGGCATGCAGGAGAATGAGTGGAGGAGAGAAGTGTGCTAGGATGACCAGCATCACAGAAGGCCCGCTCGAGCTTAGGGGCCACACATTTCAAGTGAGATTCATCAGCGCGGTGTGTGTTCAGCTGTGCCTCTGCAGGTACTGAGTTGGAGCAGAGTTGTATTTAACCAGGTTAGCGGTTTTTAGGCATGTGCGACTGTAATGGAGAGCAGGGCAAGGGAGTTAAGGGTGTGTGTAAGGGAGTGCTTGTAACAAGGGACCATGGTCCTGAACTGGGTAAGGAGGGGAATAAGGAACCTTCAAAAAGGTGGGAGAGGTTGTGTCATCTTACAAAATAGCCTGACTGAAAAGTAGAGAGTGAACGAGACCATGCTGGGGCCTTCTCAGACCTAGGAATTTTGGCTCCTGTATTCTCTTGTTTCATTGGGCTTTGAGCCGCAGCCTCCACAAATGGCTTTTGAACTTTGATTTTAAACAGTTCCTGCAGGTATAGATGAGATCATCGATTAAGCAGGTGTGTCATCAGGAAGTATGTATTAAAGGCCCATTAACTGGTACTGCTGCTTGATTAGGTACAGAGACTTGTATTCTAGGAGCTGGCAGTAGCATCAGGTGGTCACACAGGAGCCTGGTACATGGCCGACCCTGTATCTCCCTGGCTTCAGCCATAAGGATATAGTCCTTACGTGACCTTTGACTCTACAAAGTTTAGGTTAAAAAGAAAATTTTTTTTTAACTTAGGGATTTTTTAAAATGACCCTTTATCTGAGCAGAGCCCATATCTTTCGGAAGCCAACCAGGAATAGAAGCAGAGAAAAATGTAATTTCTGTGGGTTGAACTGAGTTGTTTTAAATGTCTGCAGACTTCTTGCTTCCCACTTCTCAGTTCTTTTTTTGTGATTTCTTTAGAAAAATGTGAAGTTATGAGCCTTGTTCTTCTGTCTACTGGCCATCACCAACTTCGAGGCCTGACACAGGCCTCAGCCTGCTTTCTGTATCAGTAACCAGAGCAGCAGTTCTCAAGAGTGACACTCTGAAAAAAAATTGAGATATTTTAGTCAGAGATCTTTCGAGTATTGGCTCCACTTGTTTTGTGACATTGGGCAGATCACTCTGATTCTCTGAGTTTGTTTCCTCATCTGTAAAATGGTGTTCACAGTACTTTTCAGAGATGGTTATAAATAAAAGGGTGTGTAAAAGTGCTTTATAAACTGTGCTGTGCTGACGAATTTAGTGGTTTTATGCAAAGGACTTCTAGGCAGTTTTCATGGACTTATCTCTATTAATAAATCATATGGTGTGATAACATGGGATAATTTACTTTTGTTTCTTTATGAATTATTTACATTTGAATGAGTATGTAGTCTTTTACCCTCCCCGGGGTGCTCAGAGACCAAAAAGTCCCTTATTGTCCATAGCATTTGTTTTCTGAATTTTTCCTTTGCAGAGTAAAACACTATTTTAAAAAATATGTATATATTTATTTATTTATTTTATTTTGGCTGTGCCGGGTCTTAGTTGCGGCATGAGGGATCTAGTTCCTTGACCAGAGATCAAACCCAGTCCCCCTGCATTGGGAGCACGGAGTCTTAACCACTGGACCACCAGGGAAGTCCCTAAAACACTATTTTTTTAAGGGAATTTTTTTCTTTTTAAAAGAATCGAGAATGGAGTGGGAGGTTAGATTTAGCAGATGTAAGTGATTATATATAGAATGAATAAACAACAAGGTCCTACTGTATAGCACAGTGAACTATATTCAGTATCTTATGATAAACCATAATGGAAAACAATATAAAAAAAAGAATATGTATAACTGAATCACTTTGCTATATAGCAGAAAGTAGCACAACACTGTAAATCAACTATACTTCAGTTAAAAAAAAATAACATCATGCTTTCTTTAATACGGGTTTATCTTGGATTACAAAAGTCAGTCTTCCTACCCCAGGGTTTCTTTTGCACGCTGCTTGTTTCTTGGGGTCCTTGGGTTCTGGCTCTGTCACTTGAAAGTCTTGAAACTGGATGTGACAAAGAGCTCAGAAACTTCTTAGAGATGGCAGAATCTGGTCAGGATGACCGGCCCTGAGGGAGGGTGCTGAGGGAGCCAAGCAGGTAGCTCCTGGTCCTGCTCCGTTTTGCCCATCCAGGTTGGCCCTCATCACTGCCTCCTGCTCAGAGTCTAGCTGGTGTCCTTTTGAGCCTGACCCACCATCTACCTTACTCTCCCTGACCCCGCTCTCGCAGTAGATGCAGACTCTCAGGGCCCTGAGAAATCTGAGTCTTAGGGAAATATTTTGAGGATGACCTGAAAGAGCTTCAGTTTGGGCAGATTTGGAATGAAAACAGGGTTCAGAGATCTGCTGGGAGGAGTTAAGGAGATTTCTCTTTAATTATGGCCTCTAATGGCCCCGTCCATACTTATACAGACCTTGGAGAGTGAGGGAGAGTTGACATTCTGAGTGTGTTTTATGGGAAGCTAAAACTAACATTTACTGGGCCTACAGTGCCAGACTTCTTGTCTATAAGCATCATCCCAGGGTCTGCCCTCGTAGTCCAGCGGTTAGGACTCCACGCTCCCAGTGCAGGGGGCTCAGACTCTATCCCTGGTCAGGGAAATAGATCCCTCATGGCACAACTAAGAGTCTGCATGCCACAACTATAAGATCCCACACGCCACAACGAAGATCCCTCATGCTGCAACTAAAGACCCGGCGCAGCCAAATAAATATTTAAAAAAAACAAAAACAATAACAAAATCGTCCCATTACTGTTTCATTCTTAACTATGGTTACTCTATAGAAATTCTAACAGTAATTCAGGAAGAATGATATACACTCTTACTACTAAGACAGTGTTGGCTGTTAAGCCAAGTAGTCTCCATGTACTGTTTGGTAACATGGCCCAGGTTCCAAAAGACACATTTCCATCTCACTGGGTTATACATTTGTTCGGGAGATATTTAATACTTGAGGTTGTTGTGAAAAGCATTGTGTAGCAGTTTTCTTACTATGGAAGAGCAGACGTATGCTGGGTCTGTTAGATCTGTGACCTTAGACAAACAGCTTGAGTCCCAGTTTCCTCATTTGTGAAATGGGGATAATGCCTCATACTTGTGCAGGGGTGGCTACAAGAATTTTTAAAGATTTATTACATAGAAAGTGCCCAGGACAGTGCTTGGAACATGATGGATATCAAATAAATGGTAGCTGCTATTATTGTTAGTGCAAAGCATAGAAATAATCTAACTTAAACACATTCGAACCTATTCCAGTGTTGTCCAGCATGCTTTTTATTTATTTATTTATTTATTGGCTGCATTGGGTCTTCATTGCTGCACGCAGGATTTCTCTTAGTTGCGGCGAGCAGTGGCTACTCTTCGTTGCGGTGCTTGGGCTTCTCATCACAGTGGCTTCTGTTGTTGTGGAGCACAGGCTCTAGGCGTGCGGACTTCAGTAGTTGTGGTGCGTGAGCTCAGTAGTTGTGGCTCGCGGGCTCTAGAGCACAGGCTCAGTAGTTGTGGCACATGGGCTTAGTTGCTCCGCGGCATGTGGAATCTTCCTGGACCAGGGATTGAACCTGTGTCCCCTGCATTGGCAGGTGGATTCTTAACCACTATGCCACCAGGGAAGTCCCCCAACATGCTCTTATTTTTTTATTTATTTTATTTTTGGTTGCATTGGGTCTTCGTTGCTGTGCGTGGGCTTTCTCTAGTTGCAGCGAGCGAGGGCTACTCTTCGTTGCAGTGCACGGGCTTTTTATTGCAGTGGCTTCTCTTGTTGCAGAGCACAGGCTCTAGGCACGCGGGCTCCATAGTTGTGGCTCGCGGGCTCTAGAGCGCAGGCTCATAGTTGTGGCACCCGGGCTTAGTTGCTCTGCGGCATGTGGGATCTCTCCCCGGACCAGGGCTTGAACCCGTGTCCCCTGCATTGGCAGGCAGATTCTTAACCACTGCGCCAGCAGGGAATTCCCCCCAACATGCTTTTGACATTACCTTATGCTTGGTGGCAAATTTTGTCTTTTAAGGGTGAATTTGATTTTCGAAAATGGCCAAAAATCAGAGTCAGACGTAGGTATGAATTTTTTTGTTGGTGGTGCAACCTCAGAAATGAGAAGTGACCATCATATGATAATATTTATGGATCTGTCTGGCAACCTGAGTTTGGAGGCAATTCCAAAAGAGGTGTTCCCTATTTTTTTTGAGCAATGAGCCTATCATTGGAAATATATAACTTCTGCAGATGAAATTATTATACATAATTTGAAAATCACTCATTTTAGTCTGTACTACTAAGTGTTAGAATAAGTGACATAGCCTGTAAATGCTGTGGGAGAGCAAAGGAGGGAATCAGATTAGAGTGGATTGCTTTGGAAAAGCCTTGAGAAGATGGGACTTGAGTTGAACCTTAAAGAAAAGTAGGATTTGATAGTAAGGGATGAGGGGTGGTATTTCGGAGTATTGTGGGGGAGTCACAAGAGTGAAGCATATGTAATTTGGTTCATTTAGCACTTATTGATTGAAGACCTACCATGTGCTGAGCTTGGGAACTCAGATGAATGGACACTGCTCTGACTTTAAGAAATATACAGTACCCTCGGGAAGAAGCGCGTGTAAAAAACATAGTAGTGGTAGAGAGAGACAGAGTCAACAGAGCAGTACAGAAGAGTGGTACCTAATCCAGTGTAGGGATCAAGGAAGAAAAGAAGGTGCAGTCAGGCTGACTGATGTGGTGGGTTACTGTGTAAGAAAGGAAAATGATTGGGTGAGACCCAGGCAGTGTGGAAGCTAAGGATTTGAAACTTTATGATATGGGAAATGCAAAGCCCTTGGAAAAGTTTGAGCTAGTATTTTGGGGAGATTAGTGAGTTGGTGGTATGCAGAATGGATTGAAAGGCTAAGAGATTAGAAGCAAGGAAAACATTTGAGAGGCTTTTTGCAGTAGAACAAGATAAAAATGAGAAAGCCCTGACTTAGAATTGTGGAGGAAGGCATGCGAAAGCAGAGAAAAAAATCATCGAGGATAAGTGGAATTCTTGACTGACTTGTCTTGGGAAATGAAAAAGGGTCATAAATTTATTCTGAACTTTGGTATCGAGAAGAATGGTGATGTTGTTAAAGAAATAGGGATGAGTGGAGGGTGAATATGATATTTAACATGCTGTCCAGTGGTTCACAGGGTCTGGTTCTTTGGGAAAGCACCGAGCACTCTTTTGGCCCATGTCTCTCAAATCCCTCCGTCCATCGCCGTCTCTACATCCAAACCTAACTGCTTTGAACTTTAATTGCAGCTCCTCCACCCCCGCCACCCATGATCCGAAATGGTGCCAGGGATGCCCCCCCTCCCCCCCCACCGTACCGAATGCATGGGTCAGAACCCCTGAGCCGAGGAAGGCCCCCGCCTCCACCCTCGAGGACGCCAGCTGGGCCCCCCCCGCCGCCTCCACCACCCCTGAGGAATGGCCACAGAGATTCTATTACCACTGTCCGATCTTTCTTGGGTGAGTAGCTAGCTGTTTTAGTCTCATAGTTCCTGTGGTGACTTCACTAATTCCAGTGGCCGCTGCAGAGTGGGAGTGGTCACTTGGTGTCCTCTGTTCACTGCAGTTCCTCTCCTGACCTTCCCTCAGACTTCCGGGTCCATCCATGGACATCCCTCTCCTTAGGCAAATTCTAGGCACGATTCCTTTGGAATAGATGGAAGTAAGATCAGCAGGTGTCGTGCTAACTCGAAAGCAGTCTCTCGCTCCCCAAGGCTCATTACTTGTGGTTAGCTTGTAGGTCAGAGACTGCATCCTCTTCAGGATTATTGAGACAGGAATTACGTATCCTCCTAGGAAGAAGAGCTCCTTTCTGGACCTTTGAAAACAAAACAACACTGTGTACACAACTTTTATCTAGTAATCCAAAGCCACTGACTAGTTGTGTTACTTTGAAGAAGTCACTTCATTCATTTTTTTGGACCTCACTTCCCTTATCTATGAAACAAGGAGACTGACTAGCTCAAGAGTTGTATCGGATTAACTTTTCCAAGGTTATAAATGAATCGTAGACTGCACCTAAGAGATTTCTAATTCATTAGGTCTGGGATGGAGCACCAAGTAAAGTCCATCAGGTATTGTTAGACCCTCTGTTGAGGAAGTCTGGAAGGATCTGCACAGTCCCTTGTAGCCTGAACACTGTAGATTCTTTAATGGCTGACTCTTCTCTGGCCCTGCTCTAGTCTGTTCCTGTTAAGTGGACCAGTATTTTTGCTTGTAGGATATGCCCTTTGGAATGTGATCAAGCCACACCCATAGAACATTTGAGCCTTCTTGTAGAGGGGCCATGGAAAGTGGGAGTGGGAGCCATGACATGGCCATCCCGACTGTGTTGCAGAGCTCAATGAGGGGAGCCTGGGCCAAAAGGGAATTTTCTGGTCAGATCGTTCCCTAGCTGGTGGCATATAGTCCCATTTTAGATTAATTTCTGCCAATTTGTGGATTTAGTTCAGTTGGTTTCCCATGGTGATAGTCTCTAACATGACTATGTTACTGAAAGACAGAACTATATTTCCTTCTCCTGCCAGGCAAACAGCTGGGCTCCTTTCCTGGTATGTGCCTGGTTTGGGGTGGAAAAATTTAAAGAACCAGTTCAAAGACTCATTCCTTAACGTAAAGAGCCTTTGAACACACTGTGCATACGAGGTGCAGAGAGTAATGCTGTTGCTGCCCTCACGAACCTTGCTTTAGTGGGCAAGGCAGGCGCTCATGGTACATCAGGAAGCCCGGGAGACTAGTATGGGGAGAGTCAGAAGTGGCAGAGAGGTGTGTGGGAGCACGAGGAAGGGCGATATGAATTAATATTGTTCCTTTTGCAGATGATTTTGAGTCAAAGTATTCTTTCCATCCAGTAGAAGACTTTCCTGCTCCAGAAGAGTATAAACACTTTCAGAGAATATATCCCAGCAAAACAAACCGAGGTGAGAGAAGAGAATCATGGAAGGTCTTCCGTAATTGCATAGGCTGTAGAATTGGTGTGTGCTTTTCTTAGCTTAAAATTTGCTTCTCCTTGTCTGCATTTTCTTAAACAGACAACGAAGCCTTGTCCCAGATTTTAAAGGTTAGCTTGAAGAGCCTGTCTGTCTCTCATTTTAGGAATGTTTGAGTTATTCAGGGTCTGGTGGGTGACCTTGCGTATGTGGTTTTTATTTATTTTTTTCAGCTGCCCGTGGAGCCCCACCTCTGCCGCCCATTCTCAGGTGAAGCCTGGCTTGGTCCTGTTCCTCAGGAAAAGGATGGACCCTCTCCTCTTCTCAGATGGTCCCTTCCATTCTCCCTGAAACCTGCATGACAGCTCCTAACGTGTTTCTCCAGTGCAACCAACCTCGAGACTCCAAGCGTCCACCCAGCTCACCTCCATCTATGCATCTCGTCTCTGGACTTGGTGACCGGACTCTTTATATTGACAGTAGGGTCTCAAACCCTGCATCCATCCCTCCTCTTGCAAGCCCTGCTGGCCAGATGAGGAGAAAGATTCCATGTCTCCTGCTTTCCTCTGGGGAAAGGTGCCTTGTTGTGATGAATGAACTCATTGTCGGGGCGGGGTGGAGAATGGTACTCCTACCTTCTCCTACCCACTGTGGGGGGAGCTTGGTGGGTATATTATATTTCATCATTTTAGGAGGCTGGCATGGCCAGGACTTCTGGGGGTGGGCATTTTTAGTGAAATGGGAAAGGAGTTTGCAGAGAAGTGATCTGTTTTAAAGGTCAAGTTTAGAGCATGGGCAAGGAAGTGGGTCTGCTTTATTTTTAGGGGTATTTTGGCTTTGCCCTCACCCCACCCCACGCTTATACCCAGAAATAGGTTGGATATAAACACTAAATACTAATCAGTTGAACTAAACATCTAATAAAAAGAGAGGGTGAAGTAAACGGGGGGTCCTTTTAGAGCTAGTCAGTTCCTCTGCGTCACAGGGACCAGGAGCCATGTGAGCCCTCTGGGGCTCCCTGCTCCATTTCTTCAGGTGCTGAGGCTGAGGGATGTTTTTCCTCCTCTCACCACCTATCCCCTCAAGAGAAAAGTCCCTTTCATTCATTCATTATGGATTCAGAAACCCCCAAAACCTCTAGTGAGAGATAGGAAGATAGGACCTTGGCCTTGGCCTTAACCTTGACCTTGAGGCTGCCTCAGTCTTCTCTGCTTGGCCCTGAAGGCCACTGGCCCTTTCATCCCTGTTCAGAAACTTCAGCCCCTGATGGGTGCTCCAGGATGACGAAGAAGGGAAGGGTGAAGCACCTTGTGGAAGGGACCAGCTCTGCAGGCTGTGAATGGCTTTAACTGAGGCCCACTCGTTGTGAAGTTCATAGCCCATCTGAGTGAGCAGGCTCTTCCTGTTCCCTTCTGCACCACTCAACCCCAAGACTGCAGGGGTTAGCACAGCAGAGTAGAGAAGGGTGAGGAAGCTTATGGGGGTAGTCAAAGATTCCTCTGCCAAAAGCACAAGGACTTTGGTGCGGTGTGCCTCAGTCCAGTTGATCTTCCCTGGCAGCCAGCAATATGTTGTTTCGTCTTCCAGGTCCTAGTTAAAGAGCACAGAGAAAATGAAGGTTCCCAGTCTAGGTAGGAACTGAGCTTGGATCGTGGTGCAGGGACTTCCCCTTCTCCAACAGCATGATGGAGCTCCTGGGCTCCACATCCAGCTGGTTTGGTTTGCTAAAGCTCTTGTCAAGTGCAGAGGCTGCTCAAAGCTTGAAGTGAGAGCAAAGGAGCTTTCATCAGATACATCACAGGCTTAAACTGTCCTAGGGACCTTTCCTATCTGTTGGATCACAGACGAAGGATCTGTACATGGTGCCCAGTGAAACCCAAGTGCTCCCAGTGCTAGATGAGAGAGCTCTCAACTTGGGTTATTTATCTGGGGTCTGCGATCCTTTGCCATCCCCTGGACCATATTGACTGTTGGGGCGAACCATGATTAGGTCTGTGACCACGGTTTTTCTAATCATTCTTTATTTATCATTCTTATTTTCAAATCTGTTAGCAGTTACCTCCCAGCAGTATCCCCCCAGCATCCTGAAGCCAGTGGAGCTTAGAGAGAGGATGTTAGTGGAGGGAAAAGGACAAAGTACAAGACTTGATACTGCAGCAGAGTTCCAGGGTAGATGCTGACCCCAGTTACTGAACTTGGACTGTGAAGTCTTCCCATTTATTTTTGAAATGGGAGTTGATGCCTTTTGTACAATGTTATCAAAGCGTATCTCTTTTCCCCTCACTCCTCAAACATAGAGCATCGAAATGAGCATCACACGTAAAAGCCAAACCCCAGCTTTTCACTGGGGCTACTATCTTCCTCCCGTATGACCTGCTGCCCCTCATATTCCCCAGCATTTGGACTGTGTCACGTGGGTATTGACTGTATTTTCATTTTCTTGGCCTCATGGAAAAAGGCCTGGGACTAGATCTAGTCAGATGGATTTTCTTCTTCAGAGCATGTTGATGACACAGTACCTATTTAAATGTCTTTGCCTTATACCCTATTTGGTCCCTGTGTTAATAACAGATTTATTATCATGTATATTTACTATTGATGAATGGGAATGTGAGCCTCATAGTTACTGATCTATTTTGTATGCTGTAAAAAGCTTGTAATATAGGTTTGAGGTGGGCTGGCTACAAGAGCACTAAAACTTCTCACCTTTTAAACTGCTCTTTTTATCTGCTTGTGGGAATGTCATCTCTTCAGTGGAAGATTGGGTGGTCTCATGTTGAGGCTGTTGCCCAGTCCCATTAACCCCCTTATCCCTTCCCAGAAGGAAGAGACATTGCCCAACTAGGCATCAAAGAAGCTGTGTTAAAAGCCCTCGTGTGGGTTTGGTTTTATGATGTTTTTCTCGGGTGGGAAAAACTTCATAGTTGTTTCTTACCGCCCTTTCTGGGAAGCAGGCCAGTGGTCTGCAGGTTTTTAAATGAGCTAGATGCCCCTCTCCCCGTCTCCTCTGGTCCCCAGACCTGGATCGCAGCACTGTGGTGCTCCAGGTGTGGTTTGCTCTATCGTGGGGGTTTCCTCCAGCTGCAGAGGCCCAGCGTTTTCCCAGCTGGGCCCGCAGAGTGAGAGCACTTAGGGGCTATCCCACCCAACAGACAAGAGGCTCCTGTCTCCAAAACTTCATCCCAGCCCTCTGAACTGGCAAAGGCAAGGAGACTAGCCACTGACCATTGCCCTGGGGGCATCCCCTCACCCCATAGCTTCCCCTCTTGAAACCTAAATTTACCTCCAGGGAGAGGTGAGATAAAATTGTAAATAGACTTGCTACAGAGCAACTCAGGGTTGGGGTGTGTTTTAATTCTCCTGATCACTTGAAATAATCTGTAGGCTGAGTGCTTATGGGAGTGGGGGTGAAGTGTGACTCCAGGGTCCTTCCCTTCTGCAGAGCTCTGGGTGGAGTAGAGGGCATCTGAGGCCCTTTGGTGGCACTACACTGAGCTGTCTGTTCTGGAAACCCAACCTGCAATCAACTGCAAATCAGATTCCTCACATTCCAGTTGTAGTCTTTCTTTCCCTGTTGAATCTCAGTCCCTGGCTGTACGTGGTCAGGGTGGCTTTCTGTGAGCCACCCTACTTTAGGGAATGGGAGGCATTACAACTCTGCCTTCGAGACTCGTCTCTTAAAAGCAAAGTGAAGCAAAACTACAACCACCTTCAAAACACATACAGAAAAAAAAAGGATAATTTTAACCAAAGGAAGGGTTTGGTTCCATTCAACTCCACATTCATTGTGCCTTTACTTGTGTTAGATTTCTGTGCTTTCTTCCTCTCTCCCTCTTTGAAGCAATTAAAATCTTCCTTGATAACTGCTGTTTCCTTCTTTCTCCTCTTGTCTGACAACTTAGTGGGTTCCCTCTCTAATGGTCTTAAATCTCATTCCACTGGTGGCAGCGGGGCCGAGCCTTCTCTTCTCACGTCTAACCCTTGTCCTTTTCCACGTCGACCAGCATGGGAGCCATCGTCAACACTGAATAAAAGACTAGAGTGACGTGCGTGAAGAGTGTATGTGTGTATGTGTGCGTCCATCTTTGTCTGCATGTGGATTGGTTTCTTTTCTTCTAAAAAATAATTTATTGTATGATTTATTTTGGAGTTGTTTCTGATTACGGGGCTCCCTCTCCCAATTAGCATTGATTTCTTTACCCCCTTCTACAGTGTATAATCCGGTCTCAGGTTGGATTCTTTGGTACATTTCTTTCTTCTGGATGCCGTGCAGTTTAATTAAACCTTGCTTAAAAACAAAAGCAAAAAACCTGAAAACTGTGTAGTCTTGTCTGGAATACCACCACAAGTGGTGGCATAGAAGAGAGAAAGTCTGTTGCCTCCGGTTAGGGTACTGGTTTGACTCCAGATCCTCTGAGAAAGTAGAAATACTAACTTGGGCAGAAGCATCTGCAGCTTCCTCGGAGTTTTCTCTCCTCCCCTCCTGCTGTGTTTTGAAAGTCACAGTTCCAGTTAGCCAGGCTGACTGGGTGATTCTGATAGAGTTGGTCATTATTTATATTTGCCACCTAACTCCCCTTTGCCCATGATTCCAGGGAACTCAGGAGACCCCCTGGCCTTGTGTCCTTTCCTTATATCCCTAAGGCTTCTTTCCACCTGTGTGTGTGGTAGATTCTCACACTGAAGTGTGAAGAAAAGGTGAGGGCAGAACACGCAGACTGTGTCTGTTTTTATGTGGGTGTTGCCTTTTTTTCTTCACTGCTTAAGTTGAAATCTTAGCTGGCTTTCTTGAACGTTGACTGTAGGTGTCAGAATTGAACCAGACATTCTCTGCTTACTGTGGTCAGCTGACGTAATCACCACTAAGATTTAATGAGCTTAATCTACACTTTCGTCACTAGCAAAGGTCTTGAAATTATTTCCCGTACTGGTTCATAATAGGTGTGTGTATGAGGCACTCTCACACAGTTTGATATAAAAACCTATGAGGGTGCGGGAGCGAGGGGAAAAAAGGGCCTCCTTTCATTTTCATCCATATTTGCCAGGTTGGCTGAATTCCTGATTCTTTGACCCATCATTGTTACTAATATGATTAATAAACTACCTATTTATTGATTTAATTGTTCCTCCTGTGACTTTGAATAGCCCTCAAATAGAGTTTGCCTAGATGACTCTCAACTTGCTAACCCTATAAGCTTTCTCCGTCCTATTGGGATGGTATTGCTAGTCTGTGTACGTGTGCACGTGCCCGCCAGTGCACGCACGCACGCACACAGACACACATAAGGATGCCGGACAGGTCCTTCCTGTGTCATTTGGTCCCTTCCTCCATGACACCGTGTATGGATTAGCAAGTGATAAGGACACTAGTTTGCCCACCTTAATTATTACCAAGACATAGCCGCTTATGGTGAATGTGCCTCTTTAAGTATTTTCTGGCCCAGCCCAGCCACTAACTGCAACTTACTGCAAGGAAGCTACCTGTCTCTGACTTCCTATTACTCTGCAGACAGAGGTAAGAGAACTAAAATGTCAACCTCAGGATCCTAACCACCCCAGAGGATAACTATGGGGAAATGCTTCATCTTTGACATCACTGGAGCCCAGTCTGGATTGTTTTTACACATAATTGAATTGATTCTCCACTCCTAGGTTTAGGGGTGTGAGATTTAAAGGACTGTAAATGTTCAAGCAAAAGATGGATATCGACTTGGCAGGAATGTCCTTTCCATTCATTGAGCAAGCGTTGATTGCGTATTTTACTCTGTGCCAGGCACCGACAATATGAAGACGAATAGGACATGGTCTTTGCCTCCAAGGAGCTCAGAGTCTAGCAGAAGACTTCAGGACAGCCACCAAGGGAAACCTATGCGGGGCATTAAAGGCTTTATGGTAATTAGCCAGGGCAGGAGGATGGTGACTGGCATTCCAGACATAGGAAACGGCAAGGACAAGGCACAGAAGCGAGAAACAGTATGATGGTCTGCTCATCATGTTAGTGGAGTAGTGAAAAGAGAAAACTTCAACTAGGTAACCTTTTAGAGAACTTTCAATCTGGACGTTCTGTGATTCTCTGCCTGCTTCCACAATAGTCACTTATTCTTGTAGGCTTTTCTTGGACTGGTGCTATATTTCCTGGTGAATGCTTTCATAGGCTCCAATATGCACGTTAAGTACTCATGGCTTCCTCTGCCCCCTCTGTCCCACTGTAACTGAGGTAGTTGTTCACCACCATCCCTTAAAAGCTGGCTGGGCACTTGTTACTACCATTTCTGGTTATGAAGGACAAGTTTTAGGTGTCCAGGTTATAAAAATAAATATGAACAGTGAAAGTTGCTTCTTTCTAGGTTCTGTTCCCCTGTTAAGAGATCAGAAATACCAGCTGGTAAAAAAGTCTCCATTCTGTGGTAGCGCTTTCTCCATTCGTGGCAGCCTACGCTCTTCACTCTTGTAGTTTTCAGCTCCTAGAAAGCCTTCCCCAGATGTGCTCCTTCGCCGTCTCTCCCTCTAAAACCTGCATCTGTCTATTCCCCCTCGGTATGTTTTAAGTGGTCAGGAGTTTGATCTCCTGTTAGACTTCCTGAGTTTGAATGCCAGTTCTTCCACTTACTAGTTGTGTGACCTTGGGCAGATTTACTCAACCTCTCTATTTCAGTCTTCTCATTTGTGAAATGGAAATAATTCCAACTTCATGGGGGTGCCTGTGAGAATTAATAAGGTGATATAGGTAAAATACCAGAGCTCAGCCCCTGGCACACACAAGCACTCAATATTGGTTTTTATCTCCTATATGAATGAACTACAATTAAGTTGATTGTATTATTGTTTTCCTATTTCTCGGCTTGCTCTATTTCATTTGATATTGAAGGATGACAGATACATGCTTACCATCACCTAGAATTGGATTTGGGTTTTTAGTGGAACCTGGGTTGTTAGCATTGGAAGCTGGCCTGTAAATTACTGCTTTAATTTATATTTTTCATTAAAAGTTCAGATTGCCACTCCATCTGTAGTGGTCTTCTCTGGCCCTGAAACCCTTGTATTTAGCCATAAAAAATATATATATTTTAAAATTAAGGGGCCATAATCCTCTCCACTCCCCACATTGTGTGGATTAATGGGATTAATGATAGGAAGGTGCACAGAATATCGTATTCTTATCTTTAACAAAATAAAAGCAAAGGCCTGGCCCTTTTTCTCACCCTTGAAACACAAATCAGGGAGATACTGTGATGAAGTGCAGTGTATTTATGTATGTATGTATAACTTTACAAAGAAACATTGCTTTTGGTTGTCAGGAAATGGACCTAGGCCCTTCGAGGCCACCAAAATTCTGTGACCTCTAACTAACCCTCGGCACATTTGCTTTGTGTCTTGCAGTGTTGGGCATTAGATATGTAAAGCGCTTAGCATCATACCTCGCACCCAGAACCGCCCAAATAATGGCAGGTATTATGTAGTAGCTCTCTGAAAATATAGCCCATTAGGGTAAGGAAAAAATGGGTATGTGCAGCAGTGAGAAGGTATTGAAGGAAGGGCGTGGGAATACAGTCGCGAGCGGCAAAAACTACAGCTCCCGCCGGGCCTCACTCAGTCGGCCCCGGCGCAAGCGCGCATCTTTCCGCCGAGGCCCCGGATGTAGACTGCCCCTACGGCTCGGTGGGCGTGGCCTCGTGGTGGCGCTGAGACCTGAGGCTCTCTTATTGGTTGTGCGCCTTCCCGCTTGATTGGTTGTGAAGGAGGGGGCTGGGGCCAAGGCGTGCGGCGCTCTGGCGACACCCAATCAGAAACGTGGCCGGGCTTTGGCGGGAGGCGGGAAAGCTGCGGCTGTGCAGATTTGGCGCGAGCGCGTCTGGGCTTTCCGGCTGACGGTGTGGTGTTTGTCCAGGATCCTGTCGTGGACAGTCCCTTTAGTTTTCTGTGGGAGACGTGAGAAGGCGCCGGCACTGAGGTGACGCAGCACTGTGAGGTGGAAAGGAGAGGAGGCCCGAGTCCTGGGGGGGCGGCGGAGTTGGGTGAGGGGCTAGGGCGAGGACCGCGGGTTCCGTAAGAGGAGGAGAGCTCAGATCGCGGGAGGGTGAGAAGGTCGGGGTAGGGAAGGGAGACGTGCGCCCTCGGAGTGCTCTGGCAGTTGTGCTGAGTGCGGCAGGAGGGAGACGTTCCCCGAACATCTGGGGCTATGTGGGGCCGAGAGTTGGGTAGAGCGGGGATTGAGTGCGGAGTGAGGGCTTGAGGAAGCCTGTAAATGTGGGAGGCTGCTGGGCTAAGCTGGTGTTAACGATGTACCCCGTGCCTGGAGCCAGGGGGGTAGAAGTACTATGGACGCCAGTTAAGATCAACTTGTTATTGTATGTCTCGAGTGGTTAAAAATTTGGGCTCTGGAGCCAGAATGCCTGGTCTTATATCCTGCTTTGCTGTGACGTTGGGCCTCTCTGCCTCTGTTTTTTTATCATTAAGATAAGGATAATAGTACCTACCTCTAAGGTGGTTGTAAAACTTAAAGGAGTTAATACCTAAAATGTTTATGACAGCCTTTTACTCGTAGTAGGTGGTGTTCGCTATTGTTGCATAGATTCGGATATGAAGCAAAATTAAATGCTAAAATATTGTTACAATATAATCTACTTATGAAATGAATTTCGATCTTCGGTATAAGTTACATGTTAGTTGCTTTTTCTTCACTTTTACATATTGACTGGCTGTCCTGTTCTCTTTTTTGTACGCAGCTGTGTTGCCGTCATGCCTCAAACCCGCTCCCAGTCACAGGCTACAATCAGTTTTCCAAAAAAGAAACAGCCTCGGACATTGGACAAAGCTAAAAACTCCAGTGATACCAAACTAGAACTGGCGAATGTCCAGGCCATACCCCGTTCTCCTTGTGCAAAAATTCTGCCTCTTAGCCCCAGAAAACGTCTGGGTAAGCTATCCATTATTTGAGTACAACTTTTTGTCTGGTAGCTCTCGACCTCTCTTTCTCAATAATAAGATGCCTTTGAAACAGCTTCCTGAGTTCAGTTAAGACCACTCTGTTCCCTTTGGTTATTTTCAGAATGGTTGCTAAGTGCTTACTGAACTTCAGAGTTAAGCTACTTATTGAGATCACTTTCCGAACTACTTAATAGGTCTGATCTTCAGTTCCTTAATACTGAACTTGGTTCTGTCAGTGTTTTAAACGACCTTGCAGTTAGTTATATAGTATTTTGAAACTTGCCTCGTTAGTTGTGAAATTAAGAAAAACAGGTGACAATTCTTGTTTTAGAGCAGTGGTTGGTAATCCTTTCTTTTTCTTTCCTTTTTTTTAAAAATTATTTTTTGTTTGTTTTTTCCTTTCTTGTTTTAGATCATCTGTTTTTAATGAGGGGTGATTTGGTAGGATCTGGAGACATTTTTAGTTGTCATAACTGAGGGGGTGATACTGATATAGTGAATAAAGGCTGGGAATGCTGCTCAATATTCTACAGTGCACAGGACAGTCCCCCACAATGAAAAATTACTTGGTCCAAGATATCAATGGTGCCAAGGTTGGGAAACCCTGTTTTAGAGCAATCCTAGAATTTCATCCCACTAAAACCTCTACCAACTAGTAAGACTCAGTGGTGCCATCTGGTGGCCACTATTTGCTTCTGGATGAGAGGCATTTTATTTTGGTGGTTCTGACCGTGATAGAAATTCATCCCCCTTTTTGGGGGGGATGCAGAGATCTTTCCAAGTCCTTTTACTATCCACTGCTATGAATGACCACATTTTGCTTTTAATGTTTCAGGTGACGACAACCTGTGTAACACTCCCCGTTTACCTCCCTGTTCTCCACCAAAGCAAAGCAAGAAAGAAAATGGTCCCCCTCGCTCACATACATCTAAGGGGCGCAGATTGGTATTTGACAATCAGCTGACAACGGAATCTCCTAGCAAAAGAGAACAAGCCAGACTTCACCAAAACAAAATATGTTCCTCAGTTCCAAAAGGTCAAGACATCGCAACAAATTCTGAGCAGAGATGTCCACTGGAGAAAGAATCTGCGTGTCTGAGACTTCTCAAGCAGGAAGGTTGGTTCTTACATGGCAGCTGTTAGTGCGGCCTCATGAACACGGCTGGTGACTCCAAGTGAAACCTGGTGGGTCTTCTCAGTCACCTCTGTTGTGTCTAATTGTCCTTTCATGTCTGGCACAGGTACTTGCTACCAGCAAGCAAAGCAGGTCCTGACTACAGCTGTCCCAGATCAGCTGCCTGCCAGGGAAAAGGAGATGGATGTCATCAGGAATTTCCTGAGGGAGCACATCTGTGGGAAGAAAGCTGGAAGTCTTTATCTTTCTGGTGCTCCTGGAACTGGAAAAACTGCCTGCTTAAGCCGAATTCTGCAAGACCTCAAGGTACATTGAGAGTCTGAATTATGATGCTCTTGCCAAAATGACACTTGGTTATCAAGGGTTAAGAAAAAGTAGAAGTGCTTAGGGCACTGCAGTTTTCCCCAAAATAAGACATTTTTAATTTCACTGTCTAAATCTTTCCAAATGAAAGTGGACCTTATTCTCTTGTATGCTGTTAACTCTTCAAAGACACTTCAGGTTCCATCAAACGTTTATCTGAGGCCAAAATAACTCGCATGTTTGCATTTTTCTAGAAGGAACTGAAAAGCTTTAAAACTATCATGCTGAATTGCATGTCCTTGAGGAGTGCCCAGGCTGTATTCCCAGCCATTGCTCAGGAGATTTGTCAGGAAGAAGTATCCAGGCCAGCTGGGAAGGACATAATGAGGAAACTGGAAAACCATATGACTGCGGAGAAGGGCCCCATGATGTAAGCATTGCTCTGCTGCATGTTGCTCTGTGAAAATCTGCAGGATCCATTGCCCACAAACTCACATTCTCGTCTCTTGAATGTATCAGTTTGCTCATAAAAAGAACATTTCCTATATTTTCTCTCTGAGGGGTAGTTACATAAGCTTAAAGGGAAAGAAGAAAAGAAAAAACAAAAGCCTTCTAATTTTAAATTGGGGGAAAATGTTTTTAAACTAATTACTTGAAAAACCTGTATGTTACTTTCTGGTGATGATGGGGGGTATCATCATAACAGTGACTGGAGGTGGGACAGATTATGATCTACAAACTAGTCTTTTTTTTTTTTTTTTTTTTTTTTTTTGCCATATGTGGGCCTCTCACTGTTGTGGCCTCTCCCGTTGCGGAGCACAGGCTCCGGACGCGCAGGCTCAGCGGCCATAGCTGACGGGCCTAGCCACTCCGTGGCAAGTGGGATCTTCCCGGACCGGGGCACGAACCCGTGTC